GCACCGTCGTTCGCTTTTGTTGGCCAAGCGTGCACGCCTTAACGCTAGATCTACCGACGATCGAAGTGTAAAATTTGTGACGGAGAAATGAAAATGAAAGGGACAGGGAAAGAATTTACAATAAAGACCACAATTGGAAAATTTGAAATGTAGAGCACGTGCTTCTGTTTTGTGAACGTTTTACTGAAAATCCCTCGAGTCTCTGAAAATACACTATTATCAGAACATATATAAAAAAAAATTCTAAATCGGTCGTTTTGACCATTCTGGTAGTTCCAACGTTAAATGATATTTTTGATCTCATTTTAAAACATAGGATGGATTTCTTTACTTTCACGGTCGTCAGTTTGTCAGTTCTTCGGAGATGAATTTTTACATTTCATTTAACGACGTGGAAAGATGGAGGATGTTTCCTTCGAAAATTATAAAAATTCAACGATCTCTAAAAACAATGAACATTTTCAGCCGTCATTTCGAAGATGTGAAGATCTTCCTCGTGTTTTCCGCGACCGGTATGTCCGATTTCTGCCAGATGTGCTGTCGGTAATACTTGATTAACGACGAATTATATATGGTGGTCAGTCGAATCGGAAATGAGAAGGCACGATCGAAGTTCTTTTTCGAGACAATTACACTTGGGATTCTTTCGTTTCAAATTGGAGCTCGGATTCATATTGGGTTCATACTCTTCGACGTTGACCCGAGACGCGTATTTTCTCGCTGGTGCACAAGGTCGGGCCGCTCGTTATCACGTATGTATCCACGTGATGAGTTCTCGGACTTAATCGTCTGGCGTAAACAACGTACAAGGCCGTATTCGTTTACGTATATCCGTGTATCGACTTGGATCCTGCGATACGCAAGACTGTAACAACGTACGTATCCACTACTATAGTAGTAGTCCCCTCTGCTAGGGGAATAACCTCTTTCCAATTATTCTTTTCTGTCGCGTCTAGAATTACCTAGATTCAGGAAAATTCATATTCGATAAATTTTCAAATTCGATTCCCTCGAACACAAAGGCTTTTATGAAAAAATTTTACCCTTTCCTTTCGACGCGTTTCTACGTGCGAAGTCGTGTAAAATTCCAGTCGTCGCGGGACACCCTGTATAACGTATCAAAAAGTACGTGTATACCTCCGATTTCACGAAGAATGCGATGAATAAATAGAAATGCAATGTACGTAAGCGTTCGTTCGATGGAATCTCGTGAAAGATTACTTTCTATCTGTCTTGGATCTTGTTCCAGCCTTCTCTTCGAAAGAGGTTAACTTTTATTTAATATAAATATTACACGAAGACGAAAGAATTACCAAAAGAGACGAGATCCATTCGCGATCGACTAGAAAAGATTTCTAAATTCTCAACTGAAAACTCGAAACTAGGTGAAATTGATTGATTGGTCATCGCATTGATAAAGTGGTTTCAAATTATTTCAATTGCAAGCGACTTGAAGTCAAGTGACGGGGCGAGCGTGGAAGCTTCAAGGGATATACAGAGTGTCCGTAGTTCAAGTGATCGGACTTCGCCAGTGCTTCGTGTTCTAACCAATAGAAATAAAAGAAATTCAGTCTGCCTTTATTTCTTAATGTGTTCTTTGAATTTCTTCTTTCGAATTTTGTAATTATCGTAAATATGTATATATAAATTTTTTTACAGAATTATTGAATTTTTTTTCAAACATAACCAAACTTATCAACTTGACTCGGTATTTTTCGTTCTGATCGGCGCTAAAAAGGTTAATACTATAATTGTATCAATTTTAGTCGCAAATCTTTTATACGCTATACAATTTCTTTCACCGATGTTTATATGTGCAAACTTGTTATTTATTTAAATTCCATATATATTTTCGTTACAACTTCATTGTAAAGCCTTCGCGGATTTTTATGTTCATACAACAATTTTCTATCCGTAAAGAACACATTGGCGAAGTTTGATCACTTATAATTTTGTATACTTGTACTGACACCCTGTATAAGTAGTTGGATCCAAGTAAAATAACAAGTTGGTAAAGCACTTTCGAATTACATCAATTCAAATTGATTTAAATTCAACTAACGCGACTAATCGTGTAACTAACCGTAACCTCTCCCCTTTCACCATGTAGTCAGAGCTCGTTTGTCTCTGAATCTTCGAAAGAAATTGAAACTGCCAAACTGCCAAAAATTTGATATCGTATCTCGTCTGATTTCGTCCAAGGAACGACCATTTTTTTTTTTTTTTTTTTTTTTTCACGGAAGAATCTAATTTCTGATTCTCGAATTGATAAAAGAAGAAAACACGATGTTGCGAGATGTTGCTGTTGATTACGATTGTACTTTTTGTTCGTGTTTTGTTAATTACGATTCTCGTTTCGGTCGATGGCCTGGACGAGGGATCGTTGCCTGTTCGCCGTTGCTCAAAGTTGCCAGTGGTTCAACGGTCGTAAATGACCGCCTTACCGGCTAATGTTACTGTCAAACGGCACAACACGGAGGATATTTTTAGAAGCCACTCGAGACTCGTGACGACGAGCCTCCAGATTTTACTGCAAATTTTTTCTCCCCCTTTTTTTTCAGCGCAACAATGCGAAAGCACGTTCTTCGACACGGTTTACAAATAATCGGTATCTGCCGATTATTTTTGTACCAACGATTGCTTTCGCAAAATTAAACGTTCGCCGAGCTTAAATAAAGAAAGTTGATTTCCTGAAAATTCGCCTAAAAAATTCGAACAAGCGAAACTTCAATCGTTACCTTCTTTTTTTTTCACACGAACGAGTGCATCTCGATGATAAACTATTACAGTTGTCCAGCTACGTCAAACGTGAGCACTTTACACTTTGGGGAGACGAATATTCCTCGAGGATTTAAGTATATGACCCGTGAATGTTGATATCAACTTTTAACAAATTTATGTCATTTGACGTATACACTCTGACGTTAATTGATTAACAAACATATTAATATAAATAAACAAAAATGTCTGTCAGCATTAAAATAACCGTATCAAAATATTCTACACGAAATTATCATAATTTAAATGATAATTAAGATAAACACAATTTATACATTTGTGTTTCTGTCCAGACAAAGATTAATATTAATTTTGTCAAGAACACTGTAAAAAAACAATAAAATTGTACTATTATTTACATATAATATTATGGGATGGGCAAATTCTGGCCAAGAACTTTCCTCAGTGCCCAACAAATGCAACTAAATGTCCCAAGTGCCATAAACTGTAGAAAAAGTTAGGCCTGGGATTTGGGATTATTTATGGGTAGCCCTCCAGGTCTAACGTTTATCATTAAAGGTATGGATGCGTTTGTGTGGATATGTCTATGAATGACAAATTTTTGGGCAGATGAGGAAAAAGGACAGTGAGTGTCGAGAAGTCAGAGAGAACACAATGAGTTTCAAGAAGCCAGAGAGAAGACAATGAGTTGAAAGTTGCGAGTCTAGCGAGTTTAGCAATTAAGAAAATAGTGTAAAACATCACTTTATGATCATCATTAAACAAATTTTTTTTTCTTTAACATTAAATAAACAACTATTCTTTAACAAAATTCCTACAAATTGGATTTCAAGCCGGGATTCCTACAAATATATATGTAGAATAATACACAAAATACAATTATTTATACATAAAATATATAAAATTCCTACAGTGATAGTTCTAATAAATGATACATATTTCTTACACGCAACTGCCATTTCAAAAGTCCCGCCGGGAAAGTGTTAACATGTTTCCCGATCGGTAAAAAAGCTGCCGATTTTTTTACTTGACCGCTTCGCCATCTTAGTGCACCTAGTGTGGGAGAAGAAGGGGGAAAAAAAGTTCACTTCCGATAGGTAGCATGAACCATAGATGAAACGTGTGTTAAGGCGACTCACGCGATTGTAATTTTCCAAGAAGTGACCCAACAAAAAACTAGGTGATAAGCGTTATTTTAGAAGACGGTAGGTACGAGTACGCTCCATCGCTCTCTCCGATAATATGGAATTTACGTAATCTCGCTCGAAGGAAAAAACGTACCACAGTTGCAAGGTATAGAGGCGATAAATAATCTTTCTCCTTTTTTTTTTCCTTCCTTTTCCGGACCAATTATTTTTTTTCTTCCTTCCTTTTCCGGACCAATTATTTCTTTTTTTCCTTCTATTTCTATCGAGTAAAATGGAAGTACAAATGGTTAGCGTGACTGGAATAAGGCGAAGATGTATAAAAAAACTTGATATGAACGTTGGTTTTTTTCTAGTTTTCCACTAATATCGCTGCACAGGTAATACGATATAGGTGTAGATAAAAATACATGAAACAACTGGTACCAAAAGTGGATATAGTTTGCCTTCGGGATTTATACCTTTTTGACGTTGACTTGTTTTCAATGTTATTGCGTATCCACGTTTATTTTCAATTGGTGAATTATGATAAATTAATGTACAGTGTTTTTTATTTTGTTATAATTTTTTGAAACTGTAAACTTACAAAACAATTTCCAAATTTTTATCACCTGCAGCGTGACGACAAATCTTTCAAAATTGCGATAACTTTTAAAACAGTTTCCAAATTTGTATTGTCGTCTCCAGCATGATGACAAATTTTTTTAAAATTGCCATTTGCAAAGTCATCACCAGTGGCGACATACAAGTGGTTCGAAAGGTTAACTGTCGCGTAAAAGGAAGGAAGGTGACCGATTCGGACGTAACCGTGCTGTGGATTATCGCATCCGATTCGAGACATTCGCTTATCTGGATAACCCTCGCAATTCCGTTTTGTCCTTAATCTTGAGCCCGGAGCGACGACGCGGCTCGATTTGCATGTACGCGCAAAAACCAGGTTGCTGTTGCACCAAGACGCGCGCGCGCGCGCGAGAGAGAGAGAGAGAGAGAGAGAGAGAGAGAGAGAGAGAGAGAGGAGAAACCGGCGTTATTACGTAACCGAGAGAGGCCAGGTCGATCAACGTTGCGCCAAGTGAATGAAACTGGCTCGAATCCACCAAACGAGCCCTTAGTTGCGCGATCTCCTTCTCACCGGCGTGCTACCAAAGACTCGTGTACCACTTCTCAAACGAGGCAACGCTCCTTCATCTTATCTCTGCTCTATTATGTATTCCTTTTCCGTTTCTTCCTGTTGCTCGCGCGCTCCTCCTCGGTGTTTTCTAGGAATTCGACGAGTTGGAAACACGTCACGTGATCATCTCACCCGTTTCGCGCAATACACTCGGTTTGCGCGTTTACGTTCCATCGAGAAAGCAAAGTCGCGAATCAGGCTCGATCGAACAATCGTAGAAACACAGTTTGAATGTTAGGCCAACAACATGAACATTAGGCCAGAGAAATTTAGATTTTCCGATAAAAATTACCTGTCTTAATTGTTTTAGTGCCATATTTAACAACGACAATTCGATTATAGCGCCATAATTTTTTTCTTTTTAATTACCTAACCTAAAATTAACCTAAACCTAAACCCTGACCCAAACCTATACCTAAACCCTAACCTAAATCTATACCTAAATCCTAACCTAAACCTATACCTAAATCTGAACCTAAACCTAATTTAAATCTAAACCTAAACCTAAACCTAAACCTAAACCTAAACTTAATCTAAAACATGTGCATAAATAGGCAGTTTTGCTTTATCTACTTTTATTCAAAGATGCTCATTTGTAGTCATATTAAGGCAGCGCTATCGTGCATGTTTTTAAAATAGCCCTAATAGCCCGATTGGGGCACTAAAGGCACTAAAACTTAACCTAGCCGGACCTTTCGGATCAAATTTAACGTATACGTTCGGCAAATTTTGATATATTTCAGAAGCTGTATTTTTTCCTACAAAAATTAATGTACTTTTCGTAAAAGAAATTATTTTTTAACATAAATTTTCAAAAAGTGTCAAGAAAACATTAAAGTTATCAAATTTAACCTTCGGCCGGGGTTACTGTCAGTCGGTAAGAGACGAAGCACATTAACGTGCTACCGGCCGTTAAGATGGATTCTCTGCATTTTTCTCTCAAACTTGAGTAAAACCAAAATAATGCCTAAGGTGGACTAACGTAACACCTAAGAAATAATCGAGCAATCGTTTGGGAAACGATTGCACGGTTTTTCCAGGATCTTTGTTACTCCGCAGTTTCCAAAAACGTTTTAGCGACAGATGGCAAATAGGTAAGATCAACGAAGAACAGTGAAATAGGCAAGATAATAAAAAAAAGAGATGCTCGGCGAACGAGAGAAACGTGTATCGGGGTGTTTTCGATTCTACGCGGCATCCTGAGCCTTTCCTCTCCCCGACGCGCTTTTAAAAATACGCCCTGCCTATTCATAGACATTTCCTTGGACACACCGTTACACATCGGCATAAACATTCAGCCGGTGCAAGCAACGTACAGCGTACAAGCAACAGTGCATTGCACTTGTAACCTCGAAAGAGCATTTGGTGTCTCTCGGCAAGACGTGCCAATTACTACGTTGCTCGCATGCTAAGCGCGCTCTCTTTTTTCCCCCGCGCCTTCTCCGCGCCATTTTACCTCTCCTTGCGTCTTTCCTTTTCTTCCCCTCCCCTTCCTCCCGATCCTCTCTATTTTTCAGACCCCGTTTTTGCTATTAACCGCGTGCATATAACTGTCTATAATAATAATAATAATACCATACAGTTAGTCGGAAGTTTCATCGTTGGGCAAAACAAAGCGAGACACTTTTCTTTCCGACTTTCTAGAATTTTCGCGAATCGTTCGTTCGTTGGCTCGCCTTTTACTATTCTCCTGCAAACGAGATTTAGTTGTTAATGAGAGTGTAAAAAATACGTCAGAATCTTCGATTGACGAAGGGAATTCTATTTGCCCAAAAATATTCTTTCTTTTTTTCTGTGTGCGAATGAAAGACGAACTTTTCACGAGAAACGAAAGCTTCGTTAACACGAAAACTATCGACAAGTAAATCGTAAAACTTCCATCGGAGACGTTGAAGTGAAAAAGATAGAAAATCTTTGTAATACAACTGGATTTTATTTATGTATTTTACGAAGAATCGTCTAAAGATATATTGTTTTATATCCATAAAATATCTAACAAAAATTATCAGTTGGATTACTTTTTACCATCTTTCAGGCAATTTTCTAATTCAGAAAAGTTCTTATTTTTTCGACAAGTTTCAAGAACGATTCGACATCCTCGTCAATAGTGAAAATGTAGTTTGAAAGTCCCTTTATCATAAACATTTGCACATTAGATAATTTTTTATGAACTTGCATTTTCTTTTTGTTTTTCTGAAAAGCAATGCAGCAAATAAATATGACGAAAATGTTCCTTTTCGAAATCGACGCTAAACAATCGTCAACGAAATTGTGCATTTTCTTTACTGAAACAAGCTTGAACAATCTGTTCAATGACAGATTACACTATGAATTTGTTTGACCCTACGCCTACTGTGTCGGGGTCAGTTTTGACCTGTGATGGGAGCTGCTTGTGTTAGTTTGTGTTAGTGCTAACGCATCATGCGGCTGTGTGCAAAATTGTCAAAGTGACGACGACTAAAGACGAAAAAAATCAGTTTCTGGTAACGTTCTGACGAAGACAGACATGTGCAGCAAATCGAAGCAATTTCTTATTTCTAAATTTATTTTATATTTTAGTGTTTTTATTATTGTTTTAGTATTTTAATATTTAGTATTTAATAGTTTGTATTATTTTTTTTTGATATTTAGCATTCTATACTATTTTCGTATTTACTATTTAGATTTTAGTTTTTAGCGCTATTTTAATATTTTACTATTTTTAATATTAATTTACTATTTTTATTATTATTTTTGTTCTTTTTATTACTTTTTCCGTTGTTTCTATTTGTTGACGCAATGCCTTCGTTGCCAACGAGCAATCTTTCTTTGTCTTCTTTTGCTCAATCTGCACAAGACGTTCCTGACAATGAACGACATAAATATATAGTAAATATATATATATAACTCTCATTGTTCATGTGACTATTATTTGTTCTTTATACTTCTACATGTTTCTATGAGTCGGGTGTCTGTCACTGTGTTGGTACAATATCGGTGAAAACCTCGGTCTCGAACGATCGTCACTCTGTACAGTATCGGTCAGCCGTCCGAACAACTCTAAATATGCATTAGTGGGATATCCGTGTGGGTGAAAATCACCCCAGCACAGGATGCTGAGGTTCAGTACTCGGAGGATTAAAGTGAAGTTTGTTACATTTCAAAATATGAACATATATACATATGTCCATTTAAGAAAAATCCACACCAATACACATATAATACTAGAGACCATTGCCGCCGAACGAGCTTGAAATATCTTCGGAATATGTGCCTTGAAACAATCGGTAGACCGAATAGAACCTGGCGTGCTTCTTCTTCGTCTCTCGCGCCTCGTTGCTTCTCCCCTGCTCTACGGATGAGAGAAGCAACGAGGTTCGTTCATCGGAAGAACTGGCGGCGAAACGCGGTTTCCTTAAACGCCGCCGCGCCTTGTTGTTTTCCTTTTCGTCAAGGGATATAAACAGCGGCGTAAATCCATTTGAAACGACTTTCCGAGAAGCGTCGGCGAACAGGAGGAGGAGAACAGGGGTTCGAGGGGAGGACACGTTGGTGAAACGACGCCGACCAGTAAGAAACACGATCGTTTCAGGATCGTTTCCTTAAACCTTCGACCGTTTCCGGCGACGTAAAAGCGACGCCACAACCCCAATTCTACACGGACCGAGAGAACCGGCAGATCTAAAACCGTGCTCGGGTATCCGCCGATTATTACAGACTCGTTCGACTATTTTTCCTTCCCTTTATTTTTCTCTTTTTTTCCCCCTGTCTTCTGCTTTTCCTCTTCGTTCCTTCCCCTCCTTCTTCCCCTCCCCCCCTCCTTTTTCATTGTTTCCCCATTGCGCGAAACAAAGTTTTCTTTCGGATCGATTTTTTCCCGCCCAAGTATCATCCCGTCCGCCGCGCCGCCATTCTCTGTGGTTTCGTCGCGCTCCACGATTCTTCTCGGCTCGTCCGCTTCGCTCCTTCCTCGTCTTCATTCTTGTTCTGTAGCGACGCGTAACGAGAGACCGGCGGTTTCCTTTCCGGTCGACGTGCCACGGCAACTCGTCTGTCGATCGCCATTCACTCGGTCGCGGAATGCAAAACAGTCTCGACTCGCCTGAACCAGGCACGGTTTCGTAGAGGAGCGAGGAACTAATACTGGAAACGATTTTCACGACCGTTTTCATCCAAAAATCCCAAATTTTCGTAATCGCGCCAAAGATTTTCAACTACATTCAGCGGTTTCGTGCATTTTTCTTTTGTTCATTCAACGAAGATTCATCGAAGATCGAAGAGCAAAGATAACGTAACTGCACTAATGGCGGTGAAAAATTGTCTACGATAATAATCATATAATTTCGTAAAAAAAGATCGTATAATTATAATTTTAAAATGTGAAACCTCTACCTCTGTCTTTTTTTTTTTAAAATGATTCTACATTAAGCAGCGGATGGGATTTTAAATCGATCAACAATTTTTTTTTACTATCATTGGTACAGACATGCTCTCTGCTATATATATATAGCAAGTATCGACTACCTAATAAAAATCAATTGAATCATTTCTAACAAAGTAATGCTCAGCCAAGTTGCATAAAAAAAAAAAAGTCTAGGAAAGGGACACTGGGTTTTTTTTAGTTTACCTAATGGACTTGGCATTCTCCTACCGTAGCATTTTGTTTCGCGCGAGCTCTGTGCCTTTTGTGGTAGCTGGGGTCGTGTTGGGTCTTGCGATCGCCCGTCCCCGTTTGTTGCGAGCAACGCATGAAACGGCATTTTCTATGGGTTACGTAATGAGAGCTTGACATTTATTTACCTTTCCCTGCCACGGATACGTTTTACGCGGATACCTGCAATTGCCGCTACTTAGTACACGTTGCACAACCTTTTTACCGACCGGGGTAAATGATCTCGCATTGATAACGTTCCGCGACCCGTTTGTCCATGCCTCATCGGTACATCGCGTCCGTGTCCAACCAACATGTTTGGGAAATCGTTTAAAATTATTCATAAGCCAAACATCTCGAGACACTGCGTCTTGCTCGTGGTACGTGTATTACGCGTCGTATTTTCTTCGATCTTAACACATTTATGGCGGGCGTCACACACGTGTACTTGACTTTGGTTGGCTAACAAAAATACTGATAAAGAAATGAAAATATCTATTACGTATATGGAAGAAACGTGTCGAAATATTCCAAGTAATATTAATTCTACAAAATATTCTACATATAAATTCTACAAAATATTCTATATATAAATTGTACAAAATATTCTACGTACAAATTCTACAAAATATTCTACATATAAATTACAATTTAAATGATAATTAAAATAGATACAATTTATGCAATTATATTTCTGTTCAAACAGAGGTTAATATCAATTTTGACAAAATATTTCCGTATATCTTTTAAGCACTCGCAAAAAATGAATGTCTGAAATCAGTCGTATTGACAAACGATTATTACAGTGTTAAAACAATCAAATTATACAATTTTTTTTATGAAAATACTATAATAATGCTTCTAATAAATGATACATATTTCTTACATGCAAGAAACTGTCGTTTCAAACTTCCCGCGGGAACGAAGCTTAGAAAGTGAAACGTCCTGTACCTCCAACTTTCCGCGAAAGAACGTTACACAAACGACATATTACACTCGTTAACCCTACGAATACCATGCCGGAGTCACTGGTGACTCGTCGAACCGCGTCGTTTTGAAAACGATTACGCACACAGTGAGAAGCTACATATTTGTGTGAGAAGAAAAATGACACCACCCCCACCACAGCTCGACCTTGCCGAGAATTTTCAGATGTCCTGATATTCTCCCATCTCGGTAAGGGTCGAAACAAAGCCAAACCTAGGAAAAAGGATTTGGCTGGCACCAAAAAGTCACGTAGCAACATTTAATCTGTTAGCAACAGTCAGTCAGTCTTTCACGAGGAGAGAAGCAATACACATCTCCCAGACTCGTATCATACACGCAATATTTGTATAGTTAGTGAAATACAGTCCACCATACAATTGTCTTTTTATTACAATAAGCGTGCTAGGTGCTGTTTCTGTATAGGAAGTAATAACAGATACTCGCTTGTGTGCGATTCATGCAAAAGAAATGTTTGTAACGCCCACTCAACAAAAATCCAAAAAATTATATGTAATGAATGCAATACTTCGCAATACATATAATTTTTTTATAATTTATCAATCTATTATTTTTTTGTATACATACAACGAAAATCCGAGCATAACTCGAAATCTATTACACTGTATTATAGTAACGTCTAGAGCTCGAACAACCGTAACTGCGCTCGTACAGAATTGGTGAGGGTCTCGAGCTTGAGCCGCTGTTTAGTGAAATATCGGTGTGATGAGTTAGCAGTGACTCTGGCATGGGTCACTATGCTGCAGTACTCGGAAGGTTAATCGACACCGAGTATTGAGTATCGAGGCAGTTTTGGGCGAACTATCCGAAAATACCGCTCCAGTATAACACACATCTTTCTCAGTTGTTTTTTCAGAGCTCGAAATTTATTTGTCATCGGAACCAGAAAATGCGCTACATAAGAAAATAAAGAAATAACTCTGTTCGTATTAAGAGTAATAAAATTAAGCACAAAGCAGTGACTTCGTTCTCGATTCGATCCGAGCCGAGCACGCAGTTCTCCGGTTTCGCTGCTCTTGTTCCTCGGCGTTTGCGGACAAACACGCGATATTGGTGATTAGCGATACGTGTATGACGTACTTTGACCAAGGCTGGTGGAATCGTTGATGATTCACAGTGGCACGTACTTTTCTCATGTGAGTTGCGCAGCGTCTTGCGACGAGTAATTTTTACACGTGCACGCAAACCTCTCTCTCTCTTTCTCTCTCTCTGTGTAAAACGACAACATGATGTGGTTAAAAATCATTTGTAATGCAGATAGTTGATCGTGAGTCATCGATGAACTATAGACGGTGGTTATCTTGGATGGTTTGATGCGTTGCATCAGCTTTGCAAGCAAATTTCGACTCGGGGCTCGCGCCGCGTGTCTTACTTCTTCGCCTCGGGGAATACGTATACAGGGTGATTCACATTTGAAGTAACTTTTAGATTTTCATGCGTCTAATGAAAAATTGTTCGATACGTTTAATTAAAAAGTTGTATGGTTTTCAAGGGAGGCAAAATATGACGTATCAATTTTTCTGTGGATTTTGAAATTTCCAAGATCATCTCCATCTTTTTTTTTTAATTGGACCATATTTTTTTTTTCATCACGTTATTATTTTTTTTCATCATATTAGATTCCAAATAAAAAAGATGTTAAGTCACGTTGGTTCCAAACCTAATAGTTAATGAGATATTTTACTGTTATTTAATCATCAACGTGCAAGTTACGTGAATCACCCTGTATATATTTATACGTGTCCAAAAAGTGCACGATCATATACGAAGAACATGTAATTACGATAATTTGTAAAATTTATAAATGCAATTATCTCTGAAACTATTAATTACTATCAATTCTGTTAACTACCATTACTAATTATCTCCAAAAAAAATGTCTCAAATTTTTTTTTTTTTTGTTTTAAGAGGACATTGATTTGGTACACTTGTGCTAGTTTGTCTCTAGATAGACACGTGTAGGAGATACGAAGGTCACTGCTATTTTTTACACGGATATAATTATGTAATTTTTTCTTCTTTTGCATCAATCGATGCAACAGATCGTTCTCTACAAAAAAATATTAATCTATATACGTTCGAAACCCATTAGTTCAAGAGATATTTTTTTATAAAATTTTTGCATAAGAGACACAAGTATTTTTTTTTTCTCGTCTTTCATACGATAGATTTTATAAAATTAAAGTTTTATACTTTATCTTCTTAACAGTTTTTCGATATACATAGGTTACTAATCTAAATTATACTTGACAAAATAGCAAGTGACCTCCATATCTCCCAAATACGACTATCTAGAACTATGTGTACCTAATTACTGCCCGCTCAAAATAGAAAGAAAATGCATTTAAAATATTTTTTAAATGACGAATAGTTCCAAAGATAATATATGCGTGCTCAAATGTGTACGTGTGTTCCTCGCGTAGGAAAAACATACACGTACTCAAAAAAAGTGTACGATCATATATGAAGAACGTATATGTACGTATATGTGGTAATTAATTTTAAAAACTCGAATTATACTATAGTAAAGCTCAAAGTTACAAAGTTTAGAGGCAAAAAAATTCGATCGTGCATCGTATACGTCGATCGTCAACGACGCGCCCTCTAGCGTCTGTGTCGTTTCGTGGGCAACGTGTTTTCAACTAGTTTGAAAAAAAAAAAAAGAAATTTGTCGGTCGTACTATCTGCTTTGATAAAAACTGAGAACACATCGGTATCGCTTTACGTAATATCATTCCGCAGTTTCACATCCAACGCTCGCTTTTCCGGAAAAAAGAATGTAAAACTAATGATGAGAAAACTCCTGAAAATCAGTATCGATCGTGTACGACGCGAGTTGCAATTTCTTTAGAGAAATCCTTTCCACGAGTTGCTTGATAAATTAATCCCAGAGAGAGATTTTCAATACGCGTGTGATAATGAGTAACGCTGTGTTTAAATTCCTCGATAAATTTCGTTGGATCAGTCACATTATTCTCTCGATAATAATTGCTGCTAATTGATCGTCATCAGGTTTCTCCTGCCTACTCGACCCACTTTCATAAGTATTCTTTCAAAAACGTTTCGCAAACGTTTCGATGTGAACAACCGTTATTCGTGATGTATCTCTTTACCTGTTTTTAATATTTATTACTAATAATTAATTATGACTGGTCAACCAGTTATTATTTATTATTATTGTTATTGTCAGTAATAATTGAAATGTTTAATATTTTAATATTTTCAAAGGGGGAGAGCGTTCAACCGCTACTTTGAGAGACCATTGATCGGAACGTATACGTACATAGAGCCGTGTCGTATAATTACGTAACGCAACGTGCGAGACGAACGAGTGAAAAGAACGCCTGCAACGTGCTCGTTGACGAGCAATCTCCACGCGAATGAAACGAAACGAGAAACGCGCGGGGCGAAATATTTTTAAAAGGTGTAGTTACGTAATCTGACCGATACGAATCAGCACGAACGACACGTGCCTTTACTGCGCATATCTCTCCCCGTCGGTTGAACAATAACGATTCTCGTTTATTTTTCGCAATTCGTAGTACGTCAACGTATGCAGATCGCGCCTGTTGACCAGCAACGTTTCCTGAACAGATACGCAGATAAGTGTGTAGTGGCTGCTGTTAGACCAGTTACGTGAAAATGATCCTTTTTAAGTAGAAACAAATACGTATTAATTTCGTCAGTTGACGTGCAAACGACTACAGGACCCTATCGTGTTCTTAACCTCTCGCGCTGAAATGACGTGCCACACACGTCGAGAATATTTGGCCCAGAATTGCAATATTTTCTCAGTTTTGAGTATATTGAAATATAATCCAGGCAAAACAAATAATAAATTTATTACCTATTAGTAATAAAATAAATTTATTACGTATATTAGTAATTTCTATCCAGTGATATACCGATGAATTCAAAAAGAAGACGAATTATTGTATATGATTTGGTCACTCGTTACGGTCCGCAAACCAGTTTATTAGCGCAAGAGGTTAAAAAGCCGCGACGATAAGTTGTCTCTTCCAGTTTCTTGACACGTTATCGTTACTTTTATTATTATTTTTTTATTTACATTATTGCCTACTTTTGTTTGCTATTTTATTTTTTTATTTACATTTTATTGTTTGCAGAAGCCAAACGAGCAAAGAACGCTTGTATAATTGTTGCGACGCATCTACAGGGTGGGCCAAAAGTTTCTTCCTACCTATTTATTTATTTATTTATTTTTTTTTTTAACAAAACGTCAAAATATAAGAAAAAACTAATTTCATTAATTTCAAATTAAATTTAAGTTCAAGCGTGATTCTTTTCGTTATGCTTTAGAAATTATTCCTTTCAAGATTTCTGTTTTGCTAGAAGTAATTTTTTACCTTGTACATCTTTGTAGAAAATCGTTTGGCTCGTTTGGCCCATTTTTAGACCGTTCGGTGGCCGGTTTGGGCCGTTTCCATGGCAACACTCGCGAAATTCCAACGGTTACCTTTGGAAAGTTCTTCCTGCCGTGTACGAACTCCTAGTCACTAGCGTAACACGTCGAATTCTCTAGAAACCGTCGCGTTTTTTTTTTCCGATCGAACTTCGACGTGGACGAACCCACGTACGTAGTACCAACTTTCGAGGCAATGTCGAGGCAATGCCGTGTGACGATTGGAATTCAAACGCGAACGACGTCAAAATTCTTCCTCCGATCGTTCTCTCGAACGTGTTCATTCGATTCGAAAGTGCGAATTTTCGGGTTACGGGTGTGTAGAACGTGCCAAGTATCAAACTCATCCACGATATTTTTCTTCCCTCTATGAATCGAGATATGTACAGGGTGGGCCAAAAATTTCTTCCCACCTATCTTTTTTTTTTAATAAAACATCAAAATATAAAACTGATTTTATCAATCAAATTGCGGATTTAGTTTAGTAGGAATTGATTTTTAGTCCAATGAAATTGGTGGCAATCTCTGATCTGTGAGAAATACAGAAAATATTTGAGGAAAAAAGGACGGTTCGATAACTAGCAACCGTTCGATGTATTTTTAATTTTTAATTTTAATTTTAATTAATAGAAAACTATGCAAACATTATTCCCACGCAGCGATAAATTGCAATATATGTACCAAGATTATTCGATTTTCAATTCTCTTTTCCTTGTGAATTGGTCATATTTTGTCAATCATTTTCAATTACCAACATTTAATTATTCAATTTGTAAAATTTAGATTAATGACAAATTCATTTATTCACAGCAAATAATCCCGGAGAGAAACAATAAAAATGATTTAAAGAATATTCAGTACTACTGTCTTCCTTAAATAAACACACTATTCAAGCACAATGACTTTCGATCAATAATTGATCCGGTCGTAAGGTAGATGTTACAGTAGGTCAACATGTTGCTAAAAAAATCTACAGAGTTCAGTAGAACTCCTTTTTTAGTAGAGGAGCCGAGAATTAACATCAATCTATGGTTCCGCTGTCGTTTGATTTATCAAATAGGTCATTATACATAACCTTTGGCTAACTGTTGGCACCAACAAAGGCGCTTTTAAAATTTGCTTATGTGATATTGTTGGCGCTTCGGTCCGCTGAAATGAGATGCCGCCTATAGGTGCTCACTTCACACTGCTCGAATCAAACTGAAGGCGCTCACTTCACACTGCTCGAATCAAGCGAAAGATTACACCTACATTTATATTCGAAACAAATTTTACAAAGTTTGCCGTAGCGAAAGGATTAACGATGAGTAGTACATGGCTACGAAAGAAGATGGTCAGCGTTATACAGTAGTGCTCTCTTAAGCGTCCAATCGGGACCGAGTTGAGACCGAGAACTTTTAAGCGAGGAAGGTGACTCTACCAATTGTGTAATATGAAATATCTTGTATCACTCTGTCTGTATCTTGCAAGTGTTTTATTTTACTCGGCCTTCGACACGTCACGTTGTAAAGTAACGTAGCGTGGGAATAGTCCCAATTCTAAGAATTGGCGGAGGGGTGGAGGATAGCGACAGACACTCAAGTGGACAAAAAATGCGGGTGCTACTGCTCGGCTACCATCACCACCACCACCACCACCATCTCGAAGCATTTCCAGAAAATACAACTTCCCCTCGCAGTTTCGTCGACGGCAGGCTAATTCCTCGAACTGGTACTTGTTAAGAGCTCGAGAAAGGAAGAGTGTGCGCCGCGCCGCCGTGGTCGCGCTGGTGCTGCTGCTGTTGCCGGCACACGGGGAGTGGTAATAAAGGGGTTGAAGAGAGAAATCGGGACGAGAGGGGCGAGAGAGAGAGAGAGAGAGAGAGAGAGAGAGAGAGAGAGAGAGAGAGCCAACGGAGAGATTACAAAGAAAGGGGAAAAGGGGTTGGCAAAATGGGCGGAGGGCGAGAGAATAGGAGACGAAGACGGATGAGAAAGCGACGGTAGGGGAAGGAGTAGCGGAGGAGCTTCGCCGATGGAAAAGCGGAAAAGTAGGGAGAAGCGGGATAACGCTGGAGCGAGAGGATGAACGAAGAAGTTTGAGGGATGAAGGAAGCGCGCGTGAGAAGGGCGAGGGCGGGGGTAAAGGGAATGCCCGCGTGTGCCAAGCAGCCAGCCAGCCTGGCTGGCTCGTCACGCTCGTCTTCGAATCGTCGGGTCGTGTCGTGTCGAGTTGGGTTGGGTTGGGTTGGGTTCTCGAGCCTCGTCGAGGGTTGGTCGAGTTGGACGATAGCGTGTTGTAGTAGCGCGCCGGTGGTGGGCGTCGGAATCGTGAATCTCTCCTTCTCCCCCTCGACACTCGTCCAAATAGAACGCGGACGTCCCGTTCAATTTCCCAGTTGAAGAATTATACTGGGAGAAAGTACGTACGATCACGTTAGTCTGGTTTCCCGGCAGTTGGATTGGGAACGAAGCCGGCCGGATGCGCTGTCTATGCACGCCCTTGGTTCGTTCCGTTGCAACGAAACGGAGGCGAACGGGAGTAATATTCGCGTTCGATACTTTGTACACGTTGCCTGTTCCGTGACACCCGATTTTCCACACAAACCACCCCTGGCAGTGCCACGTTTTTTTAAACGTTCGCGCGTTATCATTCCCTAAAAAATATGAGGATCGTCTTTAGCGGTTTGTTATCGATGCTTTTTCATTGGTTTTGCAACGCTTCTGCGTAATTCTTCCTCTTTACCTTTCGGGAAAAATCTTTCGTCCCCAAAAAGAAGAAAAAAAAAACAAAAAAAGAATGAAGAGCGGATAGAAACATAAGGCTATTTTTCACCGATGAGAATCGCTTGCCCCGAATCGGTCGATAAATCGGGCTGCGCACTCCCGGAACGTGGAAGAAATGTCTTCGAGCTGGAAACGGTAACGAAAGAGTTAAATTTCGTGGATATCGAGCCCGTGCCCCAGTCTTGTTCCCTACAGCGACAGCTGGATCGATATATGGCGACGTTGCCGAGCGTGAACCCTGGAGCGCTCTCGTACGCGCTTCGCTCCTTCCTTGGGAAAGTTTTGTCCGGCGCCCGGCCTGCCCGCTCGCCTCCTCTCGCGCCAACACCCGGTCAATACTTGCCCAACGCCAATTATGCACAGCAGTTTCCAAGCCCTTTATATCCCAGAAACGTTTGCCGGTCGACCTTGTATTTATTTACGTATCGAAATATATCGCGGGCAGCCTCCTCTTCTGCTTTCCCTCTCTCCCTCTTTTTCTCCTTCTCTTTTCCCCGCTCTCACTATCTCTCCCTTCCCCTTCCCCCTCTCGTTACTCCGACAGATCAGGATTCCGGTTTTTGCATACACGCTGTTGGAGAAGCGCTCCGAGTCAAGTACCGGTACTCGAGATTGCGTGAATTTTCCACCCGGCGGGTTGATGAAACGAAAATAGACACAGTGTGCCACGCTTGATTTTTTTCAGCGGCGGCGCGGGGTGATTCAGCGGAGCCGAGAGAGCTCTCTTCCATCTCCGCGTTTTGTTGCGATTGTACAGCGTATCGCCCCGTCTATACTCGCCCCTTCGACTCGAAAGATCATCCCTCCTACTTGTGGCCGCGGGACTTTCTCCAACCGAAACAATTTCGACAGTTGGTTGGAAACGGGCCTCAGTGTTCCCAGGTACGCAGGCACGACGATGAGTAATTTCTGGGAAATACGCAGTTTGGAAACACGAAATAGGGAAATACGCATTCTGGAGATACAGAGTAGGGAAATACGCAGTTTGTAAACACGAAATGGGGAAACACGCAGTTTGGAAATACAAAGTAGGGAAATACGCAGTTAGGAAATACAAAATAGGTAAATACGCAGTTGGGAAATACAAAGTAGGGAAATACGCAGTAGAAAAGTACAAAGACCATTGGCAACAGTGTGCGCATTTTTTATTTACCAACGTTGTTGCACAGCTGGCGCGTCACTGCAAGCGTTTAGGTTAGGTTTGCCCCTCGAGTTCGCAAGGGCAGATATGGTCGCGACACAATAAATAGCCGAAGAATACCTATGAATGCAACCGGTTCGACGCGTGTAAGCGAGACACCACCGTATACACGTCTCTGTATATCCCAGTGTCTTATCGAGGGAATTACATGGAAAACATTTTCTAACGGTAGATGCGCTCTGCGTAGGCGCATTATGCCGGTTCGTGTTAGCAATCGAGTTGCCGGAGAAGCAAGAGAAGTAGCAGCAGCACCATCACCACTAACACCAGCAGCAGCAGGAGGCAGGGAGGATGTGTATGTGCAGGAACTATAGAGCTCTGGCGTCGTTCGATCCCTTTACAGTTCAATTCAGCTAACTATCGTAACGCGACGCGACGCATCTTTGCAACAAAATTTCTATAACACAAAGGTCGTCTTTTTTCGTCTTTTGACGTCGCTTTCTATTGAAACACTAGATCTCCAGTTTCCAACAATTTTTCTCTTCCTTTAGGAGTCGTTTCTTTCTACTTTAAATAATTTTCTATAATTATGCTTATTTCTTTCTGGACATTCCATGCTATCAATTACAATTTATAACTTCGAAAGTTTCATACTTTTTATTAAGTTTGTAGGGAAGGATGTACCATCGTTAAACAGTCGTTCCCGTTGTTGTATAAAGTTTGTCGCGAGTCTGGAAAATTACGAGATGCAATTGCGAGGCAATCGTCTCGTTTACTCGCATAAATGCGAATTTTATAATTCGCGATACGGGTTACTAACGAATCGGTAGCCGATACATATTTCTGCTGATATTCTCGATCCCTGTGACATCGGTCGAGTCGCGCGCGCCGTTGTCCCAAAATTTGCACCGGTACGCATTACAAATTTATATCTGCGTATAATAAAGCGTAACGTGATAATTGCAGTTCATTATCGTTCGAGTTAAAGCGAACGAGGAAGCCAAAAATAACAAACGTGTATCTCTCTCTATTTACATAGAAAGATCTACGCACGTTTGAAGAAATTGAATTGCCTAGTTAAAACGAATCAATTTCATTCGATCGAAAAAATAGCAAACGATCGGACAATAATAAAAAAAAATAAAATAAATCAAAATTGACGAGAGAGAGTGCGTCTATTACGTAGTAATAAATTGAACGATGATATGTATGCTAAATTCGCATCTCTCGTTTTGATCGTTTCCCTTTTAAAGTGATTTTTGATTAGGTTATAAAATCTCGAACGATCGAATCACGATCTTTCAACTGGAAATAAATAAAAGGTATTAAAATTGACGAGAGTCCGGCGTCTCTTTTTGCAAACACTTTTTGATCATTTTTTTTTTTCTCAAATCTTTGATTTTAAAAAAGTCAAACGATCAAATCACGATCTTTCAACGGTGAATGTATAAAAAGTATATATAGGGTGGTCCGAATGATACAAAACAAAAAAATAATTATTTACAAACACATGTTCTTTTTAATCTTTTAGTTGGTTCTTTTTATTTTATTTGAAAATATAATTAACGTATTTTTTCAGTATTTTTTTTCCTACAACTTACAAAAAAAGAAAATAAAAGAGATTGAAAATAAACAGATTATGTTGTTTTCAAACTCTGTAGTTTTTCAGTGGCCACTCTATATGTACAATTAACGACAGTCTACGACGTAATTGGAAACGATGGTCATCTCTCTTTCTTTTTTTCTTTTCAAATAATCTTCGATTTTAAAAAAAACTCAAAATTAGAAGATCAAGTCACGATCCTCTCGGTTGAGAATAAATAAAAAAAGTATCAAACTAAACGCTTCTTGAGCGTTCTTCTTTTTTTTTCTTCAAACAATTTTATTGCTAGACACGTTACGACGAGAATATTTGACAGATTTATAGATCCTGTTATTATTCTATATACGGAGTAGATTGGTCATTCAAGACCGCTTCCCTTCCCTTCCCTTGCCTTCCTGGTGACATTGTCACTCGAAAAAACTTGCTTTTCTAATTTTGTTAGTCACCGAGATTAGTTGTTCTAGTTTTGCCAGTCGCCGAGATTCCCTCCCTCGTAGCAGTTGCAGGAAAATTTCATTTCCCAACATGTTGAAATACATTTTAACCCTCCGACTACTGAACCTCGGCGTCCAGTTCTGGAGTCATTTCTGACTAATACATATTTAGGGTCGCCCGGACGGCTCACCGATACTGTACAGAGTGTGTAACGGTCGCTCGAGACCGAAGACCTCACCGATATTGTACCAACACAGTGACAAATACTCGACTCAAAACTGTAACTCCGGTATAAATTACGATTGTATTTTGAGCGATAGGTGTACTTCACTTGAGCCGAAAACGAGAAAACGAATCGTCAATTCGATGGTCACCGTTTCGTACGCGCCTGAATTTTACCTTTTCAGAGGCGCGAGTTGTTAGTGGCGACCGCGGTGACCAAGAACACGGGCGAGATAGGAGGAGTTTCTCGATTACATAACGCGAATGATACCGAGCGAACGGTAAAGAAGAGGCAACTATTTCTTCTTCTTCTTTTTTCTTTTCTTCTTCTCTGCTTCCTCGAGTCGAACGCTCGGTAGCATTCGAGATGTTAGAGAGATATTTGAACGAGAAAAGGTTACTTACGCCAGCTCTCGCTTTGTCTGGTTCCTTTATTCGTTATTATTAATAAAATTTGTTTTCTTTTTTACAAATGTGTTCTTTTTTTTTTATTTTTTTTTTTTGACCATCGTTTTTCCAATCGTCATGTCACATACGTTGGCAAATCAAAATTACAAACAAGGAAATTAAAGATGTTTAGCGCGAAAGCATCATTTTCGATGCATCGATTATTGTTTCTAACAGTCGTCAAGAGTTCATAATTTATAATTTATGGAGACCTTGTACGTGCAATTTCCCCTTCGCTTTATTCCGTTATTACGAGTAAAATTACATACCATCGAACGTGGCAACAAGTAGCAAGTCGCTCGACAATCGTTCGTTAATTGGTTAATTGGTGGTTGGTTTAATAAAAAAAAAAAAAAAAGAAGAAAAAGAAGGCAACGATAATCGTTCAACAGCAAATCGTTCGTGGAAAGGGATCACCGATATCACATCGAGTAACATTGACTAGGCACGGAATCATTTTTTTGATAAAAGATTATCTCATTGTTGAGACGTAGCGTTTCTTCCCCCCCCCCCCTCTTTTGTGGCTTCTATCGCGCGTGTTCAGATTATCTCTGATAACTCAGCATGTATGTCGTTAGTCTCTCTGTAAAGATCTGCTATTGAATCTATTTTTGAAGGACTAATCTCACAAGAATAATCTATTGTACGGGGTGACACTCGGACTTCGATCGATCGAAACGATCTCTGATCTTTATTCCTCACCGATACTTTTAATTTAATCGAAACGTCTTTTTCTCGATTTTAACGTCAATTCAGCTTTTGCTCGCGAGTATACTCAACGTAATCAAGAAACCGATTTGAACTGGAAGGCCCCTAACGCACGAATTAAATGAAATTCGATGTGACCAAAAAATGATATTTGTGCAAACTTGACATCACATTTTATACTGTAAAATGTCATAAACAAGATTAATAAAAAAAAAAGAAAAAAGAAAAAGAAACGATGAAAGAAAAGAATTAATAATTCGATACGTGGCGTCTACCAGACGTCATTGTATGTCAAGGAGGTTAACTGCGCTGGCAACTGATTGCGGACCATAACGAGTGACCATATCGTACACAATAATTCGTCGCTTTCTTGGAAAATTTATTATTTGTTTTGCCTATTTTGTTTTACTTAAATATATAATTTTACTTATTATAACATGTTATGCTATGATATATATGTATATAACATAACCTATGTTACGCCTAATGTAACCTATGTTCTAGTTAAGTACATGGACATTTAGTGTGTTTATTGGTAAATTATATTACAGATTAAAGCTGTATTCACTTTTAAATAAAATTTTCTACAGTGTCAGAAAACGACATTAGTTGTAGGTATTCTTAACCACTTGCGCTGGCAACTGACTGCGGACCATAACGAGTGACCGAAACGTATTCAATAATTTGTCGCTTTCGTATACAATAACTCGTCGGCATATCACGGGATAGAAATTACTAAGAAGTAATAAATTTATTATTTGTTGTTGCCTGGGTTATACTTAAATATACCTAAAACTGGAAAAGTATTGCAATTTTGGGACAAAAATTCTCGACGTGTGTGGCACGTCATTCCAGCGCAAGAGGTTAAACAAACTGCTTCGTACACGTTTGATCGTTATCTCGACCAGTGCTAACAGGAATTCGCAATTAGAATTTACTCGAGAGAGCTGGCCGAGAACGGGCCCGTGATCACAATGAATGCGTGCAACTTGTAACCAGACGCGAAATCCAATACGTAATTCAAGCCCCGGTGTCCAGGCACTGTATCCCAGGTGTTTCGTTGCCTTGATCCAAATGTAAGTATAAAATTGCGTGTCTATTGCTCAACAGCAGCGAAGGCGTGTTTGATAACTCGAGTTTGATTTTGCACAACACATTGAATGTTTTGCAAAATTCGATCGCACGATGTGAGTCAAAGAGAGTCGTTTTTGTCACGAATCAGACGCAAATACAGACTCTGTACGAGTAAATGGAAGAAAGACACTTCGAGAAAAAGAATTCTCTAGTTCGCGATTTATTCTTGGATTACTAAAGGTCACTCGTTACGGTTCGTGAACCCAGTTGCCAGCGCAAGAGGTTAATAATTTTTTTTGAATGCTTTTTAATTTCTTAAATACCAGAATCTTTAGATGTAGCATTTCCACGAATAAATAGTATTAGATCGTGATTACTACCACCTCGTTATTATTTAATTCTCGGTTTGCGATCACTGACGTTGGATAGTTCTCTAAGAAGCATTGAAACTGGCAAACTCGAGTGTGTCTCTTTGTACAGAAGAAACGACGGTGGTCGTCGAGTTTTTTCCTCGTATTAGAGTTGGGATTTTTACGAGTTCTGCGAAAAAAGGGCACGGTTCTGGCGCGTCAAGGAAAGAAAAACAGAACAAAGAACAGACTGCAATGAGAGAAAAGGCAAGAGGGTATAGAGCGGCCAGTTAGAAACCGTTGGGAAACGGTTTGAAACGGTTTGAAACGGTTTGAAACGGTTTGAAACGGTGAGGAATGGTTGGAAACGGTTGGCGACCACTGGCGAAGGGGGCGAGAGGCGACGTTAGTTAGTTTCGGTTGGGAAGGAGCGTGGGTGGCGCATGGCGGTGCGCGGCCGACCAACAGGAAGGAGAAAACCTGCACACTGGCTTCTGTTTTAATGATGATCTATTTCGGTCGATGGCATTCCGAGTCTCGCCTCTCGTGCTTTGTCAGTCAACAGGAAGCAATAGAATTTAATTTTCCACGGTGGCACGTTTCCTCCTTGGCGAGAGGCGTAGGCAGCAGCGATTCGATTAAAAATAAAAGCGCACTCGCGAGCGGAAAAATCGAACAGCCTGCTCGCTGCGCCCTCTAGTTCATCGTTCTCGTTCTTGCTCTTTTCCTCGGAACAGACTTTCGCGCAGATTCTTCGCCTTTTTTCGATACTGTTCACGATCTGTCCGAATCTCGAAAAAAAAAAAAAAAATAATTTGACGAATATATTGGCGTGCCTCGATTCTCCGATAATTATACTTTATTCTCGGCTCTAAAGTCGTCCGCGAGTAAAAATCTAAAATAGGTCAAAGCGAGGTTTTCGAGTCGTTAAACTCTAACCTCGAGAATGCCACGTTGGGCATTCAATATTTATGTATATGTACTTATGGTGTAAAAATAAAGTCGAAACAACAACATTGTGGCGCCCGAAACGAAGCTTCAGCTGGTACAAACTTGATGATAGGAACGTGAATTGAGCAAGTACTCATATACGAAACTTTTTACTCTTTACTTTTTGATATTTTAATCTTTCGATCTGTTTGTTGAAATCAGAAATAATCCGCGTTACACAAGTAACTAAAACACAATCTTCTTCAGCTTGCGTCTTCTGCTGTTTATTTTTGCCAAACGTTTGCCACGTATATCTGCGTTTGGTATTTTTTTTATTAAAACATATGTTTCTATCGATTCTTACTTTTGATGTCTTTATTATTAAAAAGAAAAGAAAAACTCCAAGAAGTGGAAAACTTAAATAATAAAAATCGCGTAGCGCGAGTAACGGACAAGCTAGATCGATGAAAAATGCTGGAAACAGTTGTACGTTTCCTCTTTTTCCTCGAGTGTCCTTGTACTTCCGTCATCTTCGTTATTTTATTTGCGTCGATGTTTCACCGATCCACGAAAGACTAAACCTCTAGAAAGACTTTCTCCACTGTCTATTTCCACCAACGCTTCCCTCGTGTGCACCTTTTACATATTACATCCGCGTACTGGCCTCTGCCTTTACTCTTCCAAGTTATGTATTTCGCGCTGTGTCACAGAGAAAAAAAAAACATATTCTTTCAGTCCATCTCACGGAGTTACTAAAAATCGCGCGGCGAACAATTACCACAAATATAGGAGAATTGCGCTAACTTTCTCTTTGTCTTCACCAAACATATCCGGCATTTCGTCTCTTCTCTGTACATACATACATATATATATATATATATATATATATGTATGTAATCTCTTTTATTGTAAGTAGAAAAAAAAAAAACACGCGTAAGTACAGATGCGTAATAATAAAGATTGCTTAGCATCGAACTCATTTTGTTGCTGGAAACGTTTCGAACGTAGTCGAAATACCCAAATACATAAGTGTTGAAAAAGTTCACTTTTTTCGCGTTCTTTCTTTTTTTCTCTCGTTGTTTATTCTCGTGCATCTTGCGAATATCTTTCCACGAAATCTCTCTTTACTTAGTCTTTCCTCAGTGAGATTTATACTGTAACGTAACTGTAAAAAATTATTTGAAAACCACAAGCTATTAAATCATTTCCTACTTTCTCCTATTTTTCTGCTTTCTAGCATTTGAATAACGAGCGTGTTTGGAACACAAGGAAATTTTTCCATCTTTGACCACGATTTTCAACGCCCAGGCGCCCAAACCTAACCCAAACCTAATCCAAAAAACCTAGGCGCCAAACCTAACCTCCCCCAAAAAAAGAAAAAACTTGATTCCTCTCTTGCAAGAAGAAATTCAACAAGTATCTCTGAATATTTAATATTTTATTTCTACCAAAACACGACCAAGTGGCAATCTTAAAAATCGTAATGAACCATACAATAGTCACCCACTAGTACCTCTTTGACAAAGAAGATCCTCCAACTTGTGATTTGTACAAAGTGGAGCATGTTATCGTCTAGTGTAGAAAATACATCGAATAGACATCAGTTAATCACAAGTCTCTCTCTGGCTGACAACCTAAATGACAAGAATCGATTCTACATCTTATACACCTTCTAAAACAGTATGTAATAAATTTTTAGTTACAGTCGCTAATAATGCATACAAGCTATTAGAATGAAAATTTTTAAAATATATATAATAAATTATTTATATATTTAAAATATATATAATAATTATTTATTATATTTAAAATATATATATATATTTTTAAAATATAAATATATATATATTTTGTTTTTGAACGTACAAGTATGTATGTTCATCTGCATGTTTTGCAAATTAAATGTTCTTCTTATCCGATGATAAATGAAATATGTAATAGAAAGGAAAAATAAATAAAAGAAGATACGGCAAGAATAAAAGCTCTTAAGGAGAAAACGATTTCGGGCTTTGAATTTTGAACAGCGAGCAGCACACCACCACCAAAATGAGAAACACTTCCGCATTGACGTCACTGGGAGAAGCAACGAATCTCACCGGTGCTGTGCGGTCGACTGAATGACTTGAGTTCATGTTTCGTCGTTGCTGTGTTGCTTTATTCGCACTTCTCTCTCTTTCTCTACATACATATGTATATATACATATATAGTATGTATCCGTATCGTGAGTCCAGTCTTAACTTTGATTACATTCACTCAACAGGGATTCTTCATTGTCATTGTTAGTTTACATTTTAATTCTCTCTTTCTTGCTGTATGTTCATCTTTCTTTTCTTCTTCCCCTTGCCTGTTACTCGTTCATGTTCGACCAAGAAGCAATCGCCGACAATTCCGTTGAATTTCGAACACCAAGTTAAATTTACGCAATTGTGACTAAATCGCCGATTCTGAAATGTCATTGCAACCACTCTTCTATTTTAATTTTTTCTTTTTTTTTTTTATTTTAGCATAAAAATCACGACGATATTATTTTTAACGCGTGAATTTCAGATACACGTTACATTTTCTGGAAATAAATGGAAAAGGAAATAACGGGAATAACGGGAAATAAATAAGATATATAAAATATAAATAAGATAATATACGTGAGATATAATGAGGAACGGGAAATAAATTTCTAGAAAAACGAAAGAACGAAACGCGATTCCTTTGTCTTGCTCGGTTACCAAACCGTGCGTGGCCCTTTTGCTTCTCCACGACGCTTCGCGTTTCCGTCGTATCGTTAATTATTCCTCTCTCGATCCCTCCCTCCCCCCCCGCTCTCCTGCCTCTCGCTGTTTATCCTGGCCGCACCTGTACGCACCGGTGGTGCAACAAAGGCGGCAAGGAAGCACAGCCGGGAAACACGCGTACAAATCGAACAATGCTTCTGGCGCAAAGACTCTCTCGACGCGTTTCGTACAACGTGTGTGCAGAAAAGGAGAGAGAGAGAGAGAGGGAGAGAGAAAGAGAGAGAGAGTGATAGAGAGAGGGAGGGAGGGAAGAAATAGCAGTTTCTTCACGCGTCTTTTGAAATAACTGCTGCACCTGCAATCGTTCCATGTGGAAATTACGACATCGGTCTTCCCCTGCTCCTGACTTCCTCCCCTCGTCCCCCGTTTGCTTTCCGTTTCCTCACCAGCGGCAACGCACACTTGTCTTGCTCTCTTTTCTCTCTTCACATTTTTCCTTGTCATCGTGTGTCGCGTCCGTCTTTACCGTCGTCCTCGTCGTCGTCGTCATTGTCGTTGTTCCTACAGCTACGCAACTCTCGAGTCGTCTACGGCCTACAATCTACGGTCTACGTGTCTCAACAAGAGTTTCTTCCTCGACGAGACACCTGAGAACTCTCTCTCCCTTGAAACTTTGCGCCACGCTCGCTATTTTTTTCGCAGAAACTTCCCGTGTCTTTCCCCCTCCTCCCTTTCTCTTCCCTTTTGTTTCACGCTGTGTTTCATTCTCCCTCATTATATTCGTCTCTTCGGAGTTGGACAGGCGGGCACAACGGTTCTTATAGCTCCGGTGGTACGTCTTGTCCTGCTCGTATCGATCGATACTGCAGGGAAACAGCACGCTGTTTAATAACCGATTTAATTGCCGATTGGCCGGCGAATTTTTGCCAATTCGCTCGTATCGTTTCAAGTAGTATGAATGTACAAAGTAGATTCGTTGCGCGAGTAAGAATACAATGGATTCTTTCTTTTTGCGGGTTCATTAACCGATGATCGATAAAACAGTATTATCTGACTTTCGGAAGAATCACGAGATTGTGGTGTTTCGTATTGTTAAGACACAGCAAATCGAAAAAATGTATTTTTTATGTGACTTTTAACTTCATGTTAAACGACGATAATATATAGCTAATGCCAAATTCCCGATCAGACAGACATCGATCAACAGAACAAAATCTTCGCCATTTTTCTCTTCTTTTTGCGTGACCAACGCATAAGTACACAAAGCATCGTCCAACGACACGACTTGACTTTCGCCAGAGTGCTGCGACGCGATGCGATGAGACACTATGGAAGCGTAGTAGACGCACGACGAGCGTGGCGTGTTTGCATTAAATTTCTACTACCGTTACTTCTCATTCTTCGCCATCTTTCTCTCTTTCTCTCTTTCGTCTTCTGTCCTCTTCCTCTCTGAATCTTTTTATCTCTTACTACCTGCAAGGCGTTTCGAAGCCTTCGAGGCCATCGTAACCGTTGCAACCGTTGCCTTCGATCCTTCGCTTGCCTTCCACCTCATTGTTCGTTGACCGTCGCCAGGTGTCTCTCCTTGCGAATTTGCCCATGACAGTGTTGTGTGACAAAGGTCCTTGCGCAAATCATAGAGAATAGCACGCGCCTGTTAACGTTAAATCACGGCAAAGAAATTAAAAAGGGAGGGAAAAAGAAAAGAGGAAGAGTGACAAGTCGAAATATACAAAGTTTGCGTCATTTCAACACACGCAGCGAAGTGTCGTTTGACTTGTAAATTGCGAATATTTTGCAAATAACGTGGATATCGCGAGCCGCGTTACAGAGTAATATATTTGCATAATATACAGCAATGAAATGTAAATAAGATGCGAACGGCCGTGTAACGACGTATGACGTTGCTGATTTGTGTTTGTGATACATTGGACCGACCTATCGGGCTTGCAGGTGGTAATGCAACGATGTATTCACGCAACACACGTAAAAGAAAGGATACATGCGACCGATAGCCAGCAAAGATTTCTTCTAACACAGGAACATAACACTAGAGACGTTGTGAATAGTAGATGAACGCATGTGCAAGATCGACGGGGAAGGAATTGGCGCGGCCGTACGGGGTTCGCGAGCGAAGGCAGAGGTTGGCACCGCGTCAGCCACTAGAGAGATACATTGCAGTCGTGCACCGCTGTACTTACGTGCAAATGTCTCCTACAGCCTTTCATTCTCGTCCGGACTCTGCGTATCTGCATTAAAATAACGGCACTTTGGCTACGACACAGCCGGCAGTCGCCTAACGTGACTCTACTACGGCTTCGACCTCGAACCCACGCGGCCTCGTAGTCGATGGCTGCTGCTTCCCGCTGCCCCTCTGTTTTCCCCTCTCTCTCCTCTCCTCTCTCTCTCTATCTCGTGCGCATACATTACACAGAACAGGAAAGGCAGATAACGCCTGAATCTGAATTATTACCACCATTGCATTCCTACTGATTCTCTTGCATGTCTCTCTCTCTTTCTCTCTCTTTCTGCTCGCACCCTGCACTCGAAATCAAATAAAGATTTTTGCGTACGCGTGCCTCCTTCGTTCAGGCAGTATCCTACGCTCGATCAATGATTCATTTTGATCCTTGCTCACACGGATGGAATAATTATCGTCCATGCATGCACATAGCGCGTCCTCTTCGAAAGATGGCGGTGAGCAGCCAGGATGTGAGTGTACATCTAAAAACAAGCAGAAGGACGCCGTTTTCGAGAAAATCGAATTTGAATTCGAATCGAAAAAGTTTTATCCTACATTTTTTTATTTATTTCTGAATTAAAAATACTCGGCTGTTAATTGTTCTTTTCTAGAGTTAGTAAATTTTTTTTTTCTCCGACTCATTTTCTCATCCTGCGTATTATATATTGTTACAATTTCGGAAACACCCTGTATATAAGAACAAACAAATCGATAAAAATTCTTAATGGAAATATGGAATCTTGATCTTCGCACGATCAGTCAGAGTCGAATCGTTTGTTCGTTCGGTAGATACATGCACATACGTACAATGACGCAATAAAATCAGTTGTACAATACTAAAATCCAATATCGCAGAATTGTATTTTTATTGCGTGAATCTTAGGGTCGGATGTTCAGATTATCACAATGAAAAAATTTACGACGCAATCTCGAGAACTCGTCGTTGTCGAAGAATTGTTTGTCGCTTTCTATGCATGTACATATGTACGTGTATGTGTGTATGTACAAGCGCATCTGCGCGTTACGATAATACATACACGAAATAGTCGAATCATCGAACAACAATGGCGAGCAACACTGTTGTTGCAGACATTTACGGAAAACATAAAATCCGTCGTTTTGTCTCATCGTTTAACTAGAAATATATTACCGAGGAAATATTACGTGGCAAATTCGGAGAATTACATAACATATTCTCGCTACGTGAAGAAATCAGTAAACAGAATTTTCTTTACTAAATCCGAGAAGTCTCCTCAGTTGCTATAATCATACTTTTGATTATTTAATATAATATTTTGATAATTCGCATACCTTTCTGCAACAAATTGATTGCAATCGATGCATTTTATGGTCGAAAACTCTAGAAAATGCTATCGTTGAAAAAGAAAAAATTCGTTTTTGAAATCGAATTCAACAAACAATTCGTGGCATTTGCCGACGATGCGAAAACCACGTCACATCACATTGCGTATAAAAACAATCGAAAGACGGGGGAAAATAAGAAAATGATGGATCGACTGTGTACAACTATACAATTTCGTTGGCGAGTCGTGTCGCGTATCCGTTGCCCTTTCGTTCTCTCCATGGCTGCCCTTCTGCGTGTTTCGACGCCCCACTTCCCCCTCGGCCGCGCGTTGCTCTCCATCCTTCTTTTTCCCTGCACCTGGATCACGTTGCATTGTTCGGCCTGGCAGCGGATATACAGAAGCGAAATGGCAGCGAGAGAACCCCGAAAGAAAGAAGATCCCGAAAGAAAAGGAGCAAGAAGGAACGAGCCATTGAACGAAGAAAAACGAACAGCCCAGAGGAGACAGCGGAGAGATGGACGTGGTAGGCGGACAAAGAGGGAGGCAAGCAAGCAAGCAGACAGGCCTGCCTGCCTGCCTGCCTGCCTGCTTGCCTGAGTGCAGAGAAAGAAGCAGAGAAAAGACAAGGATAGATACACGGTCGAGAGAGAAAGAGAACGAGCGCAAATGCAGGAAGAGCGCGCGGGGGCTAGAGAGGTGTTTTTCTTCCAAAGGGGACTTTGCACGCTCGTCTCGCTAACGGCGGCGGTGGTGGCGACGGTACGATGCCGTGTAGGAATCGGCCCGCGCACGCTTTTGGAGAGGGGACAAACGAGTTGTCAGTACCCCGAGGGAGTCGGGGTTGTGGTGGCAGTGACGATGCCCGAGAGAAAGAGAGAGATGGAGCTTGATGGTTCAAGGGGGCGGAAGAAAGAGAGCGGAGGTAAGCTGATAGGGGAGTGGAACAGGGCAAGCAAGTAGAGAGGGAGGTTGCCAGGGCAAGGGGGGAGCTTGGGACACGATAGGAGGAAGGATAGAATCGAGTGTAAAGGTGGTGGGGAGCTCTCAGCAGGAGGAGAAGGGCGTCAGCTGCGTAGTGGCAGCTGAAGCGGGGCCAGGGTGCAAGGGAGGAAACGGTTGGAACGAGGAGAGCTGAGTCATAGCACTGTTGCCACGTCCTCGCCGGCCTCGTTGATGCGTCCCAGCGTTGCTGGTTGCGACGTTTGCGGCTTATGTCAGTGTCGTCTGCCTAGAATGGTACTGTTGGAAGACTTTTTTGTGTCTTTTACATGTACGTTCGATAGACGTGGCGAATTTAGCGCTCGACGTGTTTGACTCGTCGATCGACAACTAGAAAAATAAAGAGAGAAATAGAAAGATTCTATCTATGAATTATGCACAATGTTGCCGCCGACTATTTTATTTATTATTTACTATTTAATACGTTTTACTATGAATAACATACGTATTGGCTTTATCAAAAAGTAAATTTTAAACGGCAAAGAATAATTTGCGTTTTATTCGACAACGATTAGAAGATTTCAGCTTCTTAGGAAAATTCCTCGACCAAACTATAGCGTGTACTTGTAGTAAACAGTTTTTTCTTTTTTTTCATTCGATTCGCTTAGATCCAAGATTAAATCATGACCGAGGATCATGAGAAGCGGGAAACGGGGAAAAAATCAAGGAACAAAAGCCTTCTTTTCTTCGTTGTTATCCTGCAGCGGCCGTTCTGCATTGTATTCCTTTTTATTCGTACCGTTCTTCGCGGAATCGTAGAACTCTCGGTGTATTGTTAGATCGGCACATTCACGGTGCTTGGAATTTCAAGATTTAGCGAAATATAAAGTATTCGTACCTGTAGAGACCTGCTTTTTTTTTTTTTTCTTTTCCATAACGTGTTTCCTGTGCCAACTTGCTGGTTACGTACGAAAGCATTCATTGTTTGTGCATTGGTGAAGCAACTATATACGTGCACGATATGCAGAGGATGATATTGTACGATAACGATCGTAGCACGGAACGTTGGCGTCGAGTTTTCAACGTTAAAAAGTTCGATCGACGGGATTTTTCGCGGCTAATCGGTTTATCGAATCAAAAGTTTGCCCGTCTTCTTTCCCTCTCTTTTACGCTCATGCGTACATACACAGTCACGCACATACACACAGAGAGAACCTAGGATTTCTAAACCATGGGCCGATGTATTGATTTCCTGTGTACGTCTCTCGTTTCAAACGTGGAAGGACAAACGATCGTCCGAGCAGATACCATTAACGGCTCAGTCTTGAGATTCGATCCTCGAAAGTGGGAAGAACATCGTTTAAATTTTCATCGAACGAAAAAAGAAATATATCGACGTAGAGAAGCACTGTTATCTCAAACCAAAGAGAGAAAATTTTATTTGCTGTCATTCTTAAGATTCATTAGCAATACAACGAAATCTTAGAAAAGCGAAAATCACTGGAAGATCGGAAATTTTTGCAAAAACAAGATATCACACACGTCTGAACATACTACGGAATTACCACTGTTTTTCTCCCTCGGCACGGCGGAGTGCTGCTTGCTTCGTACTCGGTTCGCAGATTTGCCCGGGTATTTTTAAACGAGTCAGATACCGAGCTGATTTATCGGCGTTTCGCCGAATCGTCGTGCCGCATACACCGACATGGACGGCAGATACGATTCTGACTTAGAGAGGCTTGAAATTTATGGAAAATCATGGCTAATGGTTCTCACGTACGTTGTGCATGCACGACTCTTTCGCTGCACTTTGGCAGCTACGGATAGAAGAAACGGAGGGAATCGAGTCTGGAAGCGAGTCTGCCGAAGTAAAATTCCTCAACAAGCACACGAGCGAGCGGGGATTCTGAAGGAGAATATGGATACGGCTTGAGGCTCGCTAGCCAGCAACCAGTCAGCCAAGCCAAGCCAGCCAAGCCAAGCCAAGCCAAGCCAGCCACCGTGGCACTTGCTTCTCCCCGCTCTTCACTCTTCCTTCTCCTCTTCTCTCTATCTTATTTCTTCTTCTCTCGCCACTCCCCTCTTACTCGCTTTCACTCATGTGTGTCAAAGAAAAGGACGTTTTACCATGATGTATGTGTGTGTATGCGCTCGCGCGTGCGTGCATGCGTGCGCGCGCACCAGGGACTGACTACATCGCTGCTTCGCGTCGGTAAGATTTGTGTGTATGCGTGCGTTGTATGCGCGCGCATCCGTTTCTCGCGTGAGAATGTATTGGATAGGAAAACCAGAGGGGCTGGAGAGGGGGGATGGAACGAGAACAAGAGAAGACGAAGAGGGGGAGAAGGCAGGGGAGGTTGAGATGGAATATTCTCGTAGGCACAACGCACAGACCTCGATCGCTTCTCTTTCGTAAAATGTCACGCAGACTAACAGCTCGATAAAATGATATTGTGAATTAATATATCGATTCGCTCTGCTGCTTTCTTGCTCGTCCCTTTTTCTATCTATCTTTCTCTCTCTGTTTTCTTTCCTTCTTTTTGTCCACTTTATTTCGTCGATAGAGTTGCACCCAATGACGATTACGTTCGATAAACGTAGGCGAAAAAGAACGAAATTTCGATACGTAACACATCACATGTAATCACACGTCGAATGATTCGCCGAGTAATTGCGAGTCGGAGGAACGTGTACTCGGTCGTTGTTACGTTTCCGGTGGATAAGCACGCAACGGAATTGAAGTGAGTCCTCTCAGTCCGAGAGTAGTCGTTTGCAAAGGCTGCGCCATTTTGCGAAGACGATCTTCCAGAGGATCCGTACGTTGTAATGCTATACAACTCGTTCGCGGCATAAGTCCGAAAATTAAGTCCTCGGTCGTGCTCGAAGTTCGCGTTCTTACGAATGAATTCTGAAACGAGATGATCTTTTTTATTTACACACGATTGCCGTTCGACGAGTTTTTTTCGGAACGTTGGAGAAAGTGATGAGAGAGGTCGAAATCCGTCGTACGAAAAATTCTCGTCATTGAATCACACGCATATGGGAAGAGTGACCAACGGCCACGCCCCATTCGGAACGATCCGACATATCACGGTGCAAAGAAGCTCTCGGGCTCTTTTTCCATTCGAAGAAATATATAATTCACCGTTTCTCGATTTCGCAACGGTCTGTGAAATTATTTTGCGCAATTAATCCAAACTTTAGCGTCAAAGGTGTGTGTAGTCGTCGTCGCTCGATTCTTGCGCATCTCTCCGCCTGTGTGCGTGGAAAAACAGACAACGAATTAAATTGTGATACGCATTTACAGAGTAGTATCAGAGCTGCGTGTATGGTCCGGAAAGGAGATGAAAAAAAAAAGAGAGCAGAGATTTTCTTCGAAAGAATGCACAAGAAAATACGTGCGACTCACGCGAGATTAGACGAACAACTCCCCGAGATACTGCGAAACAGCCGAGGTCTTTGCGCTTGCGCGTAATGTTCTTCCGCCGATCGACCTATCGCGACGCTCGGCTCCCCACTCCCGCTCGGTTACCCTACCTCACCTAGTAAAACCGTTTCTACCATTCTCCCGAGCTTCTCTGTACACAGGGTGTGCCAGAAACAACTTTGGCTGTTTGTTTTCTTTAATTTCGCCGAAATTCAATATCTACGTTCTCTATAAGGTGAAAACAAAACGCGGTTGTCCTTAAATCCACCAAATCGAAATTGCAATCGGATAAAATAACCCTGGCCGTGTTCCTCGCGATAGATATAGATATAACCATCCGCTGGATCCATTGAAAGAAAGGAACCTAACCTCGAAAGTCCTGTTACTGCGAAGGAAATTATGCCAAATTTTGAAGCGTGAACATCGAAAATTGACTGGAAACTGTACTTACAATAATTCTCTTGCGTGTGTGTGTCCATGCGTGTCCGTGTGCGTTTGCTGAATCGGAAATACAAAATATTCGCAAGATCTTTTATTTAAATATGGCGAAAGGAAACTTGGATCGAAATTCATTCTCCATTTCGTTGTTTTTATAGATTATTTGTCTTTCTTGCTTGGCTTAATTTCTCACTTACAACTTCTAAGACATTCCAAACGACCCTGACAGTCACTTTTGCGTTATCGTCGTTTTATAAAAGTTATAACGTTCTTAATACTATATATCTCGGTACAGTACAGTTTTCACGAATTACAGAACCTTGTACCATAGTTTCATTCCGTCTTGAGTTCATGGTTAACCTTATCAACTTTTCTTTGATACTTGCCACTATTGCGCATAAAAGAAAAATGAAACTGTCGTGCATGCTTGTAATAAGCGTGTTTATGTCGTTACGTTCTCAGAGAAGGATTTAACGAAATTTCAAGTTAAAATAAAATAGATAATTTAAAACTATAAGGTTATGTCGTTACGTTCTCAGAGAAGGATTTAACGAAAATTCAAGTTAAAGTAAAATAGATAATTTAAAACTATAAGGTAAAGTAGGTAATTTAAAGAAAATAGATAATTCAAGTTAAGATAAAATGAGAGTAATTTGTTGGAATTGTTGGTGTACGGTGAAATTTCTTGAAATTTCTCGAGCAGTAAATAAATAAATCGTGTGTAATGTTTCCAGGTATGGACGCGTGCAGAGCGTCAAGCTGCTGCCGCGGGGCGAAGAGTGCCCTGTGGATGGAGGCCCCGGTGGTTCCCTCGGAGAGGGTAACGAGGGTGGTTCCGGTTCCAGTTCTGGCAACGGTGGTAATGGCGGGAGCAACGGCCCCTCAGGCAGCACCGGGGGTGCCTCCGCGACGGTGGCGTTCATGGATATCAAGTCCGCAGCGAAGGCTCACGCGATTGAGCATACCCTGGACGAACGCGCCCTTACCACACAATACTACGAACCACAACACCTTCAGCACAGGTTTCCCTCGCACGGGTAATTTTTTTTTTTTTTTTACTTTTATAACAAATGAGTTCTAGAATCTCCAAAGTTCCTCCTAGTTCTTCCTCTGAGATCGGAGTCGTATTTCCTCTCAAAAAGAAAACGAAATCTCTAGCTAGAGAGGTACAAGTCGCACAAGAGAATATCAACATGGAGAATCTCAAATTTTGAGATCCATGTATTGCGAGTGAACAGGCACTTGAATTTGTATTTCCGCCGTATTATTGCAAGTTGAAATATTTTGGTTGTTAAAACGAGGCGTATAAATATTGGTTTTCTTATCAGTCACGGTCGCGAGAAGCAATTGAATTGCACGTCATAGGAAGTAGGTAAAACGACGTTGAAACGTCGTTATGGACGAGCTTAACAAAATTTCACGCGCACAGTCTGCGTGTATTCATTGCGATTCTCCATCCATTTTAATCTTGCACCGCGTCTCTTCGTTTCGCGACGCTGTGTTACTATTGTTGGATTTATGTGTTCCATTATGTGTCGCGTTCATTTCAATCAATACATATAGTCAGTTTTCACGTTATATACGCTTTTATAACAATACATTGCATAATGTATTAAAATATAGTTCGATGTTTTCACGTTAGACATGTTCACGTGCATGTAGAGTTTCGTTCAGGTTGCTTTCCGCTAGCTGATATATTTGACAAAAGTAAATCACGCTTCCAATCGTATATTATCTCGATCATCTGCAACATTAAGGTTGGTATTGTGTTTCATAATGCTCACTTTACTTTCGACTTGAATTCTGTTGACGCTGTTGAGTTTATTGGTTCTTAATTGGGGAAAGTCGACAAAAGAAGAGTGAATTTAGTTGGTCGAATTTTTATTTCGTTCATCAATTTCGAAATCGCACAAACGTTTTAAAATTCTGATTAAATCGTACGATTTATCGAAACAAGAATCCTAATAATAAAATTCAGGTGAGCAATTTTTTCGCTGATGAGAGAAAAAGTTTCAGAACATTACGATCGGAACTTGCGAAATGCATTTTTATAATGGAAGAAGGCTGTTAAACGTCCATAATCGATAAGAAGTTTAATTTCCTGAATTGTCCGTGCATTCATTTTCTGACACGAAACGACTTTGCCAACGTTATCCCCGCGAAGTAGGACAAATCGAACGTCTTTAATAATTCAATAAAATATTCCGTCGTAAGCAGTACCATTTCAAAGTATGCACGTATATGCGTGTATATGCATGACTATTGAATGAACTCGAACAAAGTTGAAACAAGCGAAAGAACGACACGATTAAATTTATTTTCTTGTTCGAATTGTTCTTTCAACAATGAGTGTCCATAAATCGGTAGAATTTTCGAAACGGGCGTCCGTATGCATACATGTACGTGTATACAATACTGTTCGAAGAAACTGAAACGGTGGAATAAACTCGTTCGAAGAACTTTCGTCACTGACAACGAAAGCAACGTATCGGCGTGCACAACCGTAACCTAATTAGTATTTTGTATTCTTTGTTTTTTTTTTTTTTTTTTTTTGTCGAGTGACCAATCATTATTGGCGTTTCTGAGCGAAGGCGCGAGAGAAGCCTGTACTCTGCTACGGTACAACGTGCAATACAATTACGTACATGTCGATATCGGTCGTCACGAAATATCGCGTTCGTGGAAATAAACTGACCGATAATCGATCGACGGGAGCTCGGTTATCGTTATCGTGTTATTGTTCGCTGGCACATTGACGCGTTTCGATCGTCGTAATCCATATCAAGAATGGTGGCACTCGTCGAAACTCGGAACGTTCCTGCACGCTGTCGCTACCACGCACTTATTTTAACAGGCCACGTGATAGACGTAGACGGCCTGTGTCTCTCGGTTATTCCGGTCTCCGTACGTGCTCCAGGCTCCAAGAATCGTGGCGCCCCGTCGTCGTACACCGTCGTACGACCAACAAGATTTTCCCCCGTACTTTCCCCGTTACGGCTTCAACACGGAATCCTTCCCCGATGTTCGTTTACTTGTTCCATCGAGCCTCCATCGATCCTCGGATTTATCGTTCCATCGAGGCTCTCGAGAGAGAGTCAAAATGGAACTTGTACATGGTAAGTCAGCCAGTGCACGCTGCCAGCATTCGTCGCATACCTTATTCGCGCGGACGGCAGCATCGCGTTTCCACGAAAAGTCAGGTGACCGTGACGACGTGGTCGTTGGCGACGTTGCCACGTCCCGAGGATCTGCGTACGCGCATTAGCGCGCGAGCGCCTCTCGAGCGAAACGGAGGGGAGAGCAGCTTCGGTTGGCCAGTATCGTGCTACCAATCTCTCGAACCCCCGTGCTTTTCGAAATAACGCCTTTACAGTTTAAAATTGTAGACACTTTAGGCCTTAGAGTTTGGAGAATAGGAAACCTTCTGAAAATAAAATTGAGGTTATGTATCGTAAGAATTTCGGTATCAAAAGAGAAGATTCAGAACTGCAAAATTGCAGACACTTTAGAGTTCGAAAAACTTTGGAGAATAAGATTGAAAGGTTATATTATACCGTAAGAATCTCGGCGTTCGCGATCAAAAGGGGAGAAAACTGCGTCTTATACGTATTATATATTTTAACCTCTCGTCGAGAATTGCAATATTTTCTCAGTTTTTTAAGTATATCGAAATATAACCCAGGCAAAACAAATAATAAATTTATTACCCATTAATAATTTCTATCCAGTGATATGCCGATGAATTCAAAAGGAAGACGAATTATTGTATACTTGGTTTGGTCACTCGTTACGGTCCGCGAACCAGTTACTAGCGCAAGAGGGTAAACGTTTTTCATACGTTAGAGTCTAAAATTGTAGACACCTTAGACTTTAGACTTCAGAGAATAAAACGGAGATTATGAATCTCGATATAATTATATTTCAATAAAAACCATTCATTCTTCGTTCGTTAATCATGACATTTATTAAAGTGACGAATCATACATACATCGTTAGTTTGAGGTTAGAAAATTTCGAATCGAGCTTACGAATGCTAACGTGGCTAAGTGTTTGCGAATCGAGCGTGAATCACGGAAATGATGACGAAAACAATTAAAAAGGTATTTAATTAATCCGACTTGTTGTAACTGTAATTATCGAGTAGAGACAGTCGTGGTATTGTCTCGTAGATGATATCAGTGTTTAGAGATGTACCAGTTGATAACGAGATTTACGATTTATAATTTGCACTTGAGTCATCTACATATATATGTATGTGTATGTGTGTGTGTGTGTGTATGTGCACGTGGTGCGATTTCTTTTTGATTTGGCTGTTTTTGAACGTCGTTGCAGATTAATTTTTATATCGATGTCACCGGTATCGTTAATTTGACGTCAGTCGTCATATCGCAAAGTGTTAATTTAGACATAGAACGACTATTTTGTTCTTAGAAGAATTGCTAATTTTGCTGCATCCCATCATTTATCATCGTACAGCGTACATAAACACGTTAATACGACCCTGAAAATATCTTATCGGCAGCCACGCCGCGCACATGCCAACTAATACTTTACGAGAGACTTGAACGCAAGATTCTAGGAAATCAAGCGCGTTGTCGTCCGTCATAACAAAACGACGTTGCGCTTTTCGCGGGTAAACATTGATACGGGGAAAATGTGCACGTTGGCTACGGGAGAACTGGCGCCACTTTTCGTTTCTTATTTTTCTCTGTTTTTCTTTTTCCTTCTTGTTTCGCGTTTCACCGACAAATTCTTCGTATCTATCAATCTTGTATCACGCAACAGAGCGGGGGGCTTAATAGTGTTACAAACGAAAATAATTACCGTGTACGAATCTTTTTTTTTTTTCTTCCCTTATCTACGATAAGCTCCGTGTACCAATCGATACAAGTGGCATTATCACGTTTCACACAAACGGTTGGTCTTAATCAGTTAATAACGGCGACGCAAGACTTTCCACTTCCTCCACCTCCCCCCTGTGTTTTATCTGAAACTGTTGGAGCGCCAATTTCGAAATAAAAAAAGGTCGAATCGATAAGCCGATGTGATTCGGAACAACGGTCAGATCGTCCGCGAGAGTAGCGTGTTTTTTCCTTCTTTTTTTTTTTTTTTTTTTTTTGACGACATATCGAGTAGCGATCGGTCGCGTGACCGATACCCCACCGTATATCATTTTGTCCTTCGTACGCGAACCGATGATTTGCGCTCGAGTGCACATGTTTTTTCTAGACCTTTCAGATCACCGATCGCGCACGCTTTTTTTTCCTCTTCGCTTCTTCTTCCCCTTCCTTCCCGTTTCGTTCGCCTGGCGGACGACGAAACAGCTCATCGCGTTTTTTCAGCCGTCGGACTCGAGCGAAACGCAACAGCGAAGTTTATCTCGGATCTCTCTTCGTCGTGGAAGAAAGGTTAACGCGTTCGTCGCCACACGTCGTCTCGTGCTATGCACTTGCTTTTGCTTGAAAAGGCTTTTGTCGAGCACAGGCTGCTCACACGTTCGAAATAGAAATTTTATACAAAAATGATATTTTCAACACGCGGCGTAATCGTAATGGGTAGTAGCGGGGTATATTAAATACCGCGCGGTATATTTAAGCTCGTTGCGTGCTACAGCAAGCATGATTGCGACGAGCGTGATTGCGCGACGATTAAACGCATTGTCGTCGATTTACTTTGTCATGTGGGCCCTATTGCGCGACGAATTTAGCAACTGATAATATTAGCGAATATTAGCTAATCCGAAGCAGCAGTCTCTTTTCAGTGATTTGAATTTACTCATTAGTTTAATTTACCCATTGTGTGTGTGTGTGTGATAGAGACATACTAAATCTAACCTAGAAAATTGCTACTCTAACAAGAAGAGACATAACCATGTACTTATTACTCGAGTAAGCGCTAATAGGCGCTCTTTTTTCAATTAATAATAATTATTATTTTCGTCATCATTCAAATTTTAGGTAGGTAGGTAACGCACGCCCTTGATTAACCCTACGAATACCATGCCGGAGTCACTGGTGACTCGTCGAACCGCGTCGTTTTGAAAACGATTACGCACACAGTTAGAAGTTACATATTTGTGCGAGGAGAAAAATGACACCATTCCCATCACAGCTCGACCTTGCCGAGAATTTTCAGATGCCCTGGTATTCTCCCATCTCGGTAAGGGTCGAAACAAAGCCAAGCCTAGGAAAAAGGATCCTTGGCTGGCACCAAAAAGTCACGTAGCAACATTTAGTCTCTTAGCAACAGTCAGTCAGTCTTTCACGAGGATAGAAGCAGTACACATCTCCCAAACTCGTATCATACACGCAATATTTGTATAGTTAGTGAAATACTGTCCACCATACAATCGTCCTTTTATTACAATAAGCATGCTAGGTGCTGTTTCTGTATAGGAAGTAATAACAGATACTCGCTTGTGTGCGATTCATGCAAAAGAAATGTTTGTAACGCCCACTCAACAAAAATCCAAAAAATTATATGTAATGAATGCAATACTTCGCAATACATATAATTTTTTTATAATTTATCAATCTATTATTTTTTTGTATACATGCAACGAAAATCCGAGCATAACACGAAATCTATTACATTGTATTATAGTAACGTCTAGAGCTCGAACAACCGTAACTGTGGCTCGTACAGAATTGGTGGAGGTCTCGAACTCGAGCCGCTGTGTTTAGTGAAGTATCGATGTGAGTCAGCACTGACTCCGGCATGGGTCACTATGCTGCGGTACTCGAAGGGTTAACATATATAGGGTGGGTCAAAAATCACTTCCTACTAAAATAAATCGGCAATTTTTTTTATTATATATTTCATATAATAAAATTTAAAATCATTATATATAATAAAACATTTTTTATTATATATTGTTTCAACACTTGAAAGAAATAACTTTTAAGACATAATGGAAAAAAATCATGTTTGAGCTTCAAATTCAATTCAGTATAATTAATAAAATTAGCTTTCTCTTATATTTTAATATTCTATTAAATGAGAAACATCCAGCGCGTCCGTGTCTGAAAATAATTCTCCTGAATTTCGTTTACAATTCATGTACACTTTGCGCTGCATTCGACAGCCAAAACGTAAAGTTCATTCGAAGATTTAAAAAAAAAAAAAAATTATAATATACGATGATGACGAAGAATGAAAGGAGGAAAAGCGAAAAGGGTGTACTGCCGCGTGGATAACGGAAAAATTTCAGAGGCGCAGTGGTGAACCGCTGGAGAGGTTCGCATGGCAACGTCCTGGTTCCTCTCCCAGACGAACAGGATTCGAGAAACGAGAAGCAAGAAACGGCGTTACGCGTAATGCAGCCTTTAAAGAGGATTCAGGTCGAAGTCTCTCGCGAAGGTGGGAGATAAGCCAAGCACACCCGGTGACCGTATGGTAACGGAATGAACGTGTGAGGAGGCGTCGGGAGAAAGGCCGCTGATTCTTCGCCACGATTATGTACGTTCCGTGCATGCGGTTAAAACGCGCCCCGAACCATCTGAAAGAAGCATATACGAACGTGAACGCGCTCATATACGGAGAACGCAACGAGCACGAGCGGTACGAGAGATATGTACATGGCGAACTTGGACGTAGCGTCGCGATAACCAGCCACCAGTTTTCCAACGTTGATACCCCGATGAGCACATCCCCGAGAGCGATAAAGACACACGCGGAGCTAGAACCAACCAACAGTCAAACGGGAAAAGTTGCGAATTTTTTTCGAAACCAGTTGGCGTCCAATCTTCTGTTTCACGGATCGTTTCTAATTTCTTGAACATTTTGTTAAATGTGTTGGCCATTGGCGGCCGACGAAGCAAATTTAGTACGCATGCATTAAAAATTGGAAAACTTTTAAACCTCTTGCGCTGGAATGAATTGAAAAATTGTATTAATTTCTCAGTAAGTATATAACCTAGTCGAAACAAATAATAAATTTATTACTTGTCAATAATTTCTATCCAGTGATACACCGACGAGTTCGAAAAGAAAGCGACGAATTATTGTGTATTTGGTTTGGTCACTCGTTACGGTCCGCAATCAGTTGCCAGCGCAAGTGGTTAACCTCTTACGCACGTCGAGAATTTTTTGTCCAAAAATTGCTATATTTTTTCAGTTTTAAGTATATTCAAGTAAAACAAATAATAAATTTATTACTTCTCAACAATTTCTATTCAGTGATATACCGGCGAGTTCGAAAAGAAAGCGACGAATTATCGTATACGGTTTGGTCACTCGTTATGGTCCGCAGTCAGTTGCCAGCGCAAGTGGTTAACCTCAAAATTGCAATATTTCCTCAGTTTTAAGTATATTTCAAGTATAACCCAGGCAAAACAAATAATAAATTTATTACCCATTAGTAATTTCTATCCATTGATATGCCGATGAATTCAAAAAGAAGACGAATTATTGTATACTTGGTTTGGTCCACTCGTTATGGTCCGCGCAGTCAGTTGCCAGCGCAAGTGGTTGTTAACCTCAAAAAATTGCAATATTTTCTCAGTTTTAAGTATATTTTAAGTATAACCCAGGCAAAACGAATAATAAATTTATTACCTCTCACTAATTTTTATCCAGTGATGTCATACCGACGAGTTGAAAAAGAAAGCGACGAATTATTGTGTACGGTTTGGTCACTCGTTATGGTCCGCAATCAGTTGCCAGCGAAAGGCGGTTAAGATTGCGGGAAAGAATGGCAGCCGAATATTGCTTTTATTGATATTTACATCTACATAAATAGTATAC